AATGACAGCCAGGTAAAAAGAAAGGCAGAGTTGGAGAGCACAGGTGGTTGCATGAAGAGTGGCCTACAGAATCTCCCTGTTGTATTCACTAAAGGCAATGAAAGCTTTAGAGCTTTTGAGAATGTCAACTCATCCAAGATGATTTTCTCAGAGATAGAATATCTAATTTTAATCTATTTGTATTGAATTGGTTCCCAGATCAAACTGCTCTGAAGACTGCTCCATCTTTGGCAAGTAGATGATCAGAAATTCAGATGTCCCCTTGAGCAACTGGCCAAGTGTTTTGAAATTCAGATTAGAATTTACTGCTGAATCCTGTCAATCACTGACATGCTCACATTGCAAAGACAAGGTTCTTCAGCTAGTCTGAATTTCCCAACATCCTTGGAAACAAGTTGCTCATTGAGGTCATTCTGTACTGCAGGCATGTGACTGACTGCCTGTCTATCTGAGTATCTGGCTCAAACCACTAATAATCATGCAGCTTTCTGGCACTATATAGGGAAACCACAAACCAAATTTAATGTGAGGCAAAAGCCTGAAAGCTAATTTCCCCCTGGAATCATATGACTCCTTTAAAATAAGAATCCAGCTGTTCACATCTTGATTTGGTTTATGAGCAACTTGTATACACTGGTGAAGCCAGATGTAATGGCATTTGGGCTATATGCCAGGTGAGCAGGGACCAAAAAAATGCCTTATGTGCCAAGCCCCATGGCAATAAACATAGGCACACACACCTCGGCCCTGAAATTTGGAATAAGACCAAGCAAAAAAGGTCCAGGCTGTTGGTCTATTAACGTGGTGAGCTGAGAATGACTATTTCAAGAAACTCTTACCTTCAGGCCATACTGAATTTCACTGACTTAAAGATCCTTAAGGCAACATGTTTCTCCTCATGGGCACCCTAAGGTTGGAGCTGACAAACTAGAAACAGCTTCCCAAAGAGCAAATTCATAGCCGCACTTCCTTCCAACCCTGAAAACTAAGAGCCTTTCTGAATTTCTATGAAATGTAGATTGGAGCTGAATATCTTGGGGCCACGCGAAATCAATTTTTTAATTAATGATCAAACTTTTTGGATTTCTATATTGGAATTTTAATCATAAAACACATTCTCAACATGGTATTTTAACAGACTGTAGTGGCCTAGTTGTCCTTTAATAAGAGAAAACAGCAGCATACATTCAAATGGAACCTCAAAAGCAGTTCCAAGGCAGAGCCTGGCCTAGAAACAGGAATTTCTAACTTTAGATTTTGGTCTCAGATTGTCTTATTTGATTTTTCTTCTTCTTCTTTTTTTTCTTTATTTCTTGAAGATCCTAGCTAAGCAAAGTTCTTTATGGTGGGAAAAAAACTTGCTCTCATTATTTATACTTTCATTCAATTTCCCAATGAAATTAGATAAGGCCAGTACGTTCACATTTTCCATGGACAATCGACTACGACTACTACTGCATAGAAAACTATCATCATAAAGATTCCATACAGTCCTGGATATACTCTCCTTGTAATATGGTCTTCTGTTCACTTTTAGACTTAATACTGTCTCTTGTTAATTAGGCCACTGAAAAGGAATGTATCTTGTTTTTTCAAAGAAGGTTTTCCTTAAAGACCATCCATATTCTGAAAGCGACAAGACATCCAGGTGTAATTTTTAAAGTTTATATAGGCTAATGTAAAATTACACAAATACGAAAGTCAGCTCTGGGTTAAATAAGCCTGTCATTTCTCTTGTATTTTTCCTGTTACTTCTCATAAGTTGCTGTCAATATTCCTGTGGAAAACAGAACCCAAACACATGGAGCAAAGGGAGTGGGAGTAAGGCAAAAGGACTTGGTGCGGGAGGGGTCGGAGAACAGTAGTGGATGGGCAGGGCTCAGAGAACCCAATGAAAGGAAATAGATGGCTAAGGCTGATGAGAGCCCAAAAAGCCTGGAAGGCAGAACTGTTTAATATGGAACGTTTGCACCTCCTTTTCAGGCGAATGGCTGACTCCCTTGGGGACTGTTCATTATTCTGAGACTCATCACTCAGGACAGCACTGGTTAGGACTCTCCTGGCTCCTTGTGTCTCAGGGCCTGCCCCTCCTAAACACTAGACTAACTGCACACACTCCCTCAAACCCACTGGCCAGCTCTCAGCCTCTATAGCCCTGCCTTCAATTTACATATTTTCAAAAGGAAAAAAAAAGATGTTTAGCGATCTCTGAATGTGAACTCCACTTTTGGAGAGCGTGCTTATCAAGACATTCAGATGCTCTCCTCAAGATTTTTCTTCAATTCTGAATCCTCCAACCAAACACTAGTGTTTCTCTAAAACTTCTTCTCTAATTCAGGGGGATGCTTTGACAACACCAAGACAGCATGGTGACAGGCACTTTATTAGTGTTTGTTAGAGACTAAATTGCCACAGTCTACCTCAGATGACTACAAATTAAAAAAATTGTGTCAAATTTAATCTTTTATCTAATTTACGCCCTAGAGTCAAGGGCTTTGGAAACCCAGAATGCCAGCTCTGCCCCAAAGCAGCTCTATATGTTGGGACACGTCACAGAACCTCCCTGGGCCTCAGCCTCTCATCTAAGAAGTGAGCTTTTAACCTGATTATGTAGTTTTCTTCCGATTCCAGAGTACTCACATCCTATGACTAAAAGTAACCTTCAGGGAGAGGGGAGCTAATTTACTCCTTCCTTATATTATCAAGCCGTTCCTGATGTAGTCATCATACCTCAAAAGAAGTTCCTTTGTAGTGACTCCATTACTGTAACTTTCTGAGGCAACATTGAAAAAATTTCAGTTCATTTAGAAGCTGTCGCTTCACAGTAGGATGGCTTTCCTGGGGAGTTTCTTTGTTCTTGTCAGCATTTCTGTAGCCCCTATTTGAACAAGTACTTTTATGACTTCTCATTAAGTCAGGCTGAAATTATCTACTTGGAGAAGCCCTGTCCTGGTTTCTGGACCTCTAAAGGTATTTGTGATTTTAGGACGGTAAAGAAGGAAAGAGATGCCCCACAGTGGGCAATGATCAGGGCCTGACTGCGAATCTTGGTGGTGCTGATTACTGTTGTCTGGTGCCTTCATTCTTCCAGGGAGCATCATGGTAGAGAACTAGCTGAGTCACAGAGAGTGCAGGTGGGATGGAGACCCTTCCTACTCCTCCACTCTCAACTGCAATAAAGGGGGCATGAATCAAGGTACTTTCACATTACCCATATGAGCTTTAAGATTCTAGAATTAACTGCTTAGGCTTTTGGGCTTTAAAAACTTGTAAACTAAAAACATGAATGTTCTAAAGATATTTTTTTCTTAGATATTTTTGAATCAAGAAAACCTGGATTCTAGGTATACCATACATATACTTGGGGCGGAGGGAGCATGAGAATATAAACAGGGACTCAGCCTGCTCCCCGCTTTTCTTCCCATGCATGTACGTGAGATACAGTTACCTTCCCAGCCTCTATCATTCCTGCCCCAAGGCCTGGGGTGGGGGTTGGGGGAGGCCTGCCCAGGCCCTAGCAGCAGGCTCTGGGATGTCTGTTCCGTTCACCCAGTAGTTCTGGGGACCCAGGTAGCTGGGGGGTGGCCAAGAAGTGAATAAGCATCCTCACACTATGGAGAGGGGTGCTGCTGAAGGAGAGTGAGAGTGGGGCCCAGGAAAAGGACCCTAGTTGCCTAGGTCCAAAGGCAGTACTGCTGCTTTCCATGCTAGCCCCCCACCCCCCACAAGTCTTTAAGCCTCTTTAAAGGCACCAAATGCCAAAAGGCTGTTGATGTTTTCTGTACCTTCATGCATACAGTAGGTGTACACTGAACTGAAGAGTCGGACATAACCCAGACAGTACTGTTCACTGACACCATCCCCTATTTAGCAGAAGAGGGTGGACACAGCTCCCTTGAATTATGAATTGTCTGAAGAATTCAGCAAACCTGGGGATCCAGAGCTGAGCACATTTTGGGAAGCTCATCAGTTGGTTCCTAAAAACCAACTTAATTCAGGGAATTTTAAGTCTTAAATAGTATGTGATAGGGAAAACTTTCCTATAGAAGCAACACTGGGTGGAGCCCAGTGGGTGGAGTGGAATGTGAAGAGTGCACAGGAGATTATTCATGGCACGTCAATGATTTAGGTCATTGACGTGCTTGGTCCCAAGGGTGCAGTCTGCTCCACCTGCTTCTACTGCAACAGAGAGTTTCTACTTAGTAGAAGGGTTTTCAACAGCCAGAATTTCTGTCCTGATTATTGTGCTTAGGTCATTTCTTTTTCAAATCCCATCTGTCTTGCTCTATGATGTTAGTTTTACTAGAAGTAGAACAAGCCCATACTAAGGAGAAATGTAAATGGTGTATTATATTTCTCAAAGTGTAACCATGCAGACTCTGGAAAACTGCCCCATTCTTAAAAGGCTTCAGGATGGTAAAGCATCTGGAGAAAAAGACTGCAAGAAAGGGCTTTCTGGGAATTCCATGAGGTTTTGACCTCCATCCTCCTGTTGCTGCACCAAAACTGAGCCCTAAATTGTGTCTATTCCATGTAGGCTGACAAGGAAGGTCTTCCTAAGCCCGAGCCAACACAAAGAAGATTATGTGCTTGTAAGTGCTGGGAGAACCAGCTCCAGGTTGCAATGATATCAGTTCTCTGTTTTCAACCCTTCAAGGCCTAAGGAAGCTTTCCTGGTGGAAGAGACCTCAACAGTATTAGCTGCTCCGGCAGGTTCCTGGTTACATGCTACCAGAATGGTGATGTGGATCATTTGTGCTCCTACCCAGAGGGAGCAGGAAACAGGATGTACCTCTGAAAGGCTCCTACTGTTAGGAAGCTGGTGTGTAGAGGTACTGCTTGCACATGTGATGTGTAAGAAGAACTATATATAAGGAAGAGCAGAGTCCTGGGATTTTAATTTGTTTTTTTTTTTCTCAGATGGCTGAGGGTGGAAACCCTTTTAAGAATGTCAACAGAAGACAGATGCCCCAGGTCCTGCCTGCCCTGCTACCTGCTCCACTTTTAGGCCTCTGGATCCACGTGAGATTATATCTAGAGCAAAGACAAACACTCCTAGGTGTGGAGAGATTTAGTCCCCTTCTCTAAATGATGCCGAATTCCTAATCTGTCAGATGCATATGGCTAAGTAATTCCTAAGGACAGTAAATATATGTTGGTCAGAGAAGAAGAGAAGGCAAAGTGAAACTAAGTAAAATGAGAGGGAAAGATACAAAGTGCGTGCCTTGGTGGAGAAATTAAATTCGGACAAGAATGCAGGAGTGCATTACATGGACCTACATATACACCGTAGGGATACAAAGACAAATCCATCTCTACTTCTAATAAACATCTAGTCAGCACATAAGATAAATGAACACAACTAATCCAACTATAATATATATCCTGTTATATCTGATTCACTTTAATTCTCTGAATATCTAAACCTGTAAGACTCTCCCTTCCTTCTAGGTGTAAGGTAACTCAGTTCAGTTACCTAGAATCATGGCAACATAAAGTATTAAGGCTAAGAGGGTTTTCAAATTCTAATTCTATCATTTTAAGTTGAGGTGTTGTGTATCTTGTCCAACACACAGCTTGTTGGTGGCAGGACAGAAAGAGGAACTTGGGTTCCTGTACTCCCACTGAAGTGTCTATTAGCTTTTGCTATTTTTCTGATGACTTTTTAAATCAAAAGGCATTTTCCTCATTCCCCTGTAGAAGGAGGAAGAGATTTACTTTGAATTGCTTTAAAAGGCTTAGTCGAAAAGGAATGTTACATACTGATATACAGCCTGGTATTGGGTCTTCTAGGTCAAAGGGATCATGGATTTAGGTCACTCACCACTAGAGGGCACTCATATTTTCCCACTTAATTTAAAGAAGCTTCTAAACAAATGAAGTTTATCAACATGACGACATTTTCTATCAGTAGTAAAAGGTAAATGGCCATTTCCTCAGAATATACTAGCTCTGGGCATAGATATCTAAATGTACGTATATGTACATATACATAAACATGTTATAATTATATATTTGTTATAATTAATGTTATTATTTTAGATTCAAGCTTGATTTTTTCCTCAAAGGACTCTTCTTTATTGCTTTCAAGTGGTATACAGGTTTTTGAAGTAAAAATTAACTTAGAAGTCAACTTCTCCCCAGAGCACTCACACAAAATCCAGTGGCTGCTGCCAGAATCTGCAGGCCTGCAGTATTCTAAGCAAATCATGCTTGTTGTTTAGGTCCTTGCATAGTTTAAAAGGGAGAAGAAAGAGAAGAAAAGGAGAGCATCTTCTGCTATAAAAGGAAACGAATACAAGCCAGGCAATTATTTTAACCCTCTAGTTTACCATCCCTGAAGGCCTTATTCCGATCACTTGAGGAATTTCTGGAGATTAATACCTGGAGCCATTAAAATCCATTCTCTCTATGGGGACCAAGAACTTTCTGGCCGTGTTATTGAAATTCTGGAAAGGTCTATTCCACATGCTTAAAAGAAGTTAATATATAACAGTTATTATGATGTACTACCACAATATTGCCCTGTCTAAAAAATACATAAATTTAATAAGATTTGTAAAAAAAGGTGGGGTGCTTCTGCAAAGCACCTGTACCTCCGGCTGTCATGTCAGAGTAGCTGATGATTAGCATTCTGGATTTTAAATTCTGCTGAATCGTTTTCCTGCCCCATGGCACTTACCTGATCAAGACTAGCCTGTGTTTTGCCAAGTACTGCGAAAAACTTGGCTTACAGCATTGAAAAGGATACATCTAATTCACTCTGGAAAAGAAAAAGAGTGCAAGGATGAGAATGAGACACTGGGACCACAATGCACTTAGCAGAGTTAGCGGCTGTTCTGGCGGCAAGCCTGGAAACAGGTGGGAGAGGCTGCGTTGTAAGTAGAAGCGTGAGACCAGGAAGGGCCTAAGTCTGGGATCATGATTTTAAAAAAATAGGCTGCCATTTAGAGGAATTTTATAGGCTAGAACAATTCATCTTTAGAACGCAGAGGGAATAAACTAACTCGACTGTTACAAATGATAGGTAATTTGATTTGTACATCAAAAACCTTAATCATGTTATATATACCCTTTGAATCCATCAGTTTTACTCTTAGATGTTTATCCTAAGGAAGAAATTAGATAATGACACAACAACATGTGCTAGTTCACAGTAATGTTTATAGTATCAAATTACTGAAAACAAGGGAGACTAGTTAAATAAATTACAGCAGATCCACAAATGATGATGTAGATATATAAGTACTGATATATTATTGAATAAAAAAGCAAGTTAAAAATGACATGTATGTATTATCCCATGTATATAGATAGATATAGATACAGTTAGATATACACAGATATGTAAAGCCTAAAAGGAAATGCACCTAACGGTACATATCAATAAGTGATAGACTTACTGATGATCTTCTCCCCTTTCCTTTTGCTCATATGTATTTTTAATTTTTTTTTGATGAACATAGACATTTATGTCATGAAAATGTCATAGAGGGAGAAAAATTAAACAATAAAATTCATATTTGAAGGGACTTAAGGTGTGTCAAATGCAGCACTGACAACCCTGATCCCTCTTCCTCGAGAGGAACACTCCTTCTCTCTTGCAAAACTGCCTCCTTTAATGACAACTGGTTGGCTTTTTGTTTTGAAATGTAATGCTAAGATGCTTCTTTCAGCTGCATGAGACCGATCTCCAAATTTCAGATTTGGAAACTCTAAGATTAAAAATAGCCCCAGAAAGAATGTTTAAAATTCAGAAACCTAAAAATAAATTTTAAGTGACAAGGCATTCTCCATGAGTGGAACAGTTTCTATTTTCTTTCCTATAGCACTTGTTTCCTTCCTTTATGCTTCTACTGTCATCCTAATCCGGGTCCTCCAAGTCCTGTATAATCACCAGGTTTAAATTAAATTCTAATCTTTTCTTCTGTAGTTTATGTGGTCACTTACTTTCCCTAGAATTACAGCTAGAATTTGGCAATGTGCTATTTATACTGTTACCGAATATAATTTAAGCAATGACAGTGCTTGTACCCACTCTTTATTCTCCCAGGTTTAAAACACTGCTATTTGGGGGAAATTATATTCTTCTTGATAGGTGTTCCCTTAAAGTGGCTAATCATGGCCAGCTCTGAATCACAGACCTTGACTTGCAATGAATGTCTTAGAGTGGTTGTCCAGACATAAAAGCAGGAGCTAGAGTTATGCTGTCCAATATGGTAACCACCAGTCTCATGTGGTGACTTAATTAAAATTAAATACAATTAAAATTTCAGTTCCTCATTTACACTAATCACATTTCAAATGTTCAAGAGCCACATGTGGCTAGTGCCCACCGTACTGGAGCAGACAGGTACAGAACATTCCCATGGCCACAGAAAAGTTCTTTTGGATAGCGCTGCTCTGTGGTCTCTCCAAGCAAGCAATAGCAATACAAAGGTGGATTTTAAAGCCAGCCTCAATGCTCTCTGTCCAATGCAAGTCTCTGAAATGGCCCAACTTCTTGCCCTTTTCCAGTTTTGGAAAGCACCAATCCCTTCCTAGCCAGATGAACTACCATGTCACAGGCCACTAGGCAGCTTCCTAGCTCCAACATCTGAATTAGGAAATGGCTGACAGGAAGCCTCATGCAGTAAGACAGTGGTTTTCAAACTTAAGCATGCATCAGAACCACCTGGAAAGCTTGTTAAAACAGATTGCTGGGCCTCAACCCAGAGTTTCTGATTCAACAAAATGCAGTAGGCTCAGAGTTTTTCTTACAAGGTGATGCTTCTGCTGCTGGTCCAGGAACTACATATTTGAGAACCACTGCATTAAGGCAATGAACACAGGCTAGTTGATTGTGCCATGAAGAAGGAGTTTGCCAAACTTTACTTCTGGCATTAGGAATTAGACTGAAGGTACAACTTCTTAACGTGAGTTTTGCCCCTACAGGCTTCAGTGCACTCCATATTCCTAACTGTGGAGCAAATTCCACTCGCTGCCTCAGGAAGAAGCAGCTTGTAAATGGTTCCTTCCTAATCATTTTATTTAAAAGCAAAATGAAATAAACAAAAACAACTTTGAAAAGTCAGCTTATGCCACTACTACTTTTCAAGAATGTCTAAGCAAGGCTCAGGAAGGCCTATGGTAGCATCGTAAAACATCTTCACTTATTCTTTTTTAAAAGAGCATCGGATTTCAAATTAAGTACAAAGCTAACATCATCAAGATAGTGTGGCAATAGCAGAAGGATAAACATGCAGATTATTGGAACAGAACTGAAAGCGCAGAAATAAACCCTTATATTTATGGTCAATTGATTTTTTTAAAATTTATTTATTTAAATTAGTTTCAAGTATACCGTACATTGGTTAGACATCTATATAGTTCATAAAACAATCCCCCCAATTGCTCCCTCCCTCCCCTGGCCCTCTATCTAGCCATCATATTAATGCTAACTGCATTCCCTCTGTAGTGGTCCCCATCCCTGTGACCATCCATCAGCTACTAATTTGTACTTCTTTAACCCTTCATCCTATTCTCCCAGGCCCCCAATCACCCCTCCCCTCTGTCTGTCACCTAATTGTCTACTATATTTGTAAGTCTGTTTTTGATTAGTTTGTTCTTTTTGTTCCTCAGATTCCGCATATAAGTGAAATTATATGATATTTATCTTTCTCTGTCTAGCTTATTTCACTCAGCTTAATGACCTCTAGGTCCATCCATGTTGTTGCAAATGGTAGGATATCATTTTTTTTAATAGTTGAATAATATTCCATTGCATATATGAACCATAATTTCTTTATCCAATCATCTGTCGATGGGCATTTTGAATAATTTCTTTATCCAATCATCTGTCGATGGGCATTCTATATCTTGGCTATTGTAAACTGTGCTGCCATGAATATTGGAATGCATAGATCTTTATGAATTATTGTTTTGGTTTTCTTTGGATAAATACCCAGAAGTGCAATTGGTGGGTCAAAAGTTACATCCATTTTTAATTTTTTTGCGAAAACTCCATACTGTTTTCCATAGTGGCTGTACCAATTTGCAATCTCACCAACAATGTATGAGGGTTCCCTTTTCTCTTGTTGTTTTTTGATTTATTGATGATAGCTATTCTGACAGGTGTGAGGTGATATCTCATTGCAGTTTTAATTTGCAATACTCTCATGGCTAGCATATGGTCAATTGATTTTTGACAAAGGTGTTAGGACAGTTTAGTGGAGGAAAGAACAGTCTTCTCAACAAATGATGCTGTGACAGTTGGATATTCGCATGCAAAAAAATGAAGTTAGACTCCGACTTCACATCATATACAAAAATTACTCCGTATGGATCAAAGACTCATGTAGGAGCTAAAATTATAAAACTCTAAGAAGAAAAGATAGAAGTAAATCTTTACAACCTTGGGTTAGGCAAAGCCTTTTTTAGATATGAGACCAAAAACATAAGCGACAACAACAAAAATAAATTAACTGAACTTCATCAAAATAGATATTATTGTGCTTCAAAGGACATCATCAAAAAAGTGAGGAAAAAAACCACTAAATAGGAGAAAGTATTTCTAAATCATATCTGATAAGAGATTTGTATTCAGACTACACAAAGAACTCTTACAGCTCAATAATGAAAAGACAAAACAATTGAAAAATGGGCAAAAGATTTAAGAGTCTCATGCTCTACCAAATGAGCTAACCAGGTGCCATAAAAAAATGGGCAAAAGATTTAAACAGACATTTCTCCAAAGAAGATGTACAGATGGCCAATAAATACATGAAAAGATGCTCAACACTGTTATCCATCAGTGAAACGCAAATCAAAACCTCAGTCGACTGGCCTTTATAACACTTCATATTCACTAGGATAGCTAGAGTAAAAATGACAGATAATAATAAGTTTTGGTGAGAGTGTGGAGAAATTAGAACTTTTATACACTGCTGATGGGAATTTCAATCATGCAGCCACTCTGGAAAAGTTTACTAGCTCATCAAAATGTTAAACATGGAGTTTCCATATCACCCAGCAATTCCGCTCCTAGGTATATACTCAAGAAAACTGAAAACATGATTCTACACAAAAATGTGTACACAAATATTCACAGCAGCAATTCACAACATCCAAAAAGTATAAATAACCCAAATGCCTATCAACTGATGAATGGATAAACAAAATGTGGCATACCCATGAAATATTACTGAGCAATAAAAAAGAAGTACCGAAACATGCTACAACATTGAGGAATCTTGAAAACATTATGCTGAGTAAAAAAAGCCAGCCACAAAAGACCATATGTTGTATAATCCTGTTGATATGATATAGAATGTCTAGAAGAGGCAAACCTGTAGAGACAGAAAGGAGATGAGTGGAGAAGGTGGGAGGGAAATGTTGATGGGTATGTATTTCTTTTTGGGGTAATGAAATATTTTAAAATTGATTGTAGTGATGGTTTCACAACTCTGTAAATACTAAAAACTATACACTTTAAAAGAGTAAATTGTATGGTATATAAGTATTTCGATACAGCTGTTTATAAAAAAAAAAAGGACTGTTGGAAAGGAATGCAGGTATTCCTTTAGGGGAGACGGCTTTGACCCTCAAAGGAAGGGTTTCGATGGAAATTATTTTTAAATTAAAAAAGTGTCATGTATATTAGGAGGGGAAGCAGAAAAAGAGCGAGCAAGTGAAATAGCAAAATCTCTTAATTGAGGTAAAGACACAGGAGGTTCTTAGTTGCGTAGAAATAGTTTTTTATAAAGATCTAAGGCACACATAGCTTTATAACACTTTAGATGAGCCAGAAGGAAAGGTAATGAAAATTTGGCATCATTTGAATTTTAACTTTTACACATTAAAGCTCTATATTAACACATGTTCTTGATATAGACCCATTTCTGGGAAATTGGCCTGCTGACAAAAACAATTTTTTAGTCATTAGACTTACAACTCGGCTGAAGTACTCGTCTAAAACTTCCACGAAGTTATGGATGAATTCATAAATCGCCATCTCATTCTGAAATAAAAAAGGGCGTAATTAGTTTTAGTGTGGCCCATGTGTAAATCAGACATACAGCTGCCCACTCAGCAACCAGGTTTTAGAGCATGTGGCTTGGTATACAGAAAATATGAGCAAATAGCTTCCCATGGACAAATATTCAAAATAGTTCTATGACTCACTTGTTTAAAAGAAGCTTATTAGTAGGAGAAATGTAGAAAACCTTAACCTCTGGGATTTTTTTTAGTGTCCATGATGAATCTGGCTGGACTGAAACCAGACTGAGTCTAGTGTTTAGAATTCTGAGCTCTAATCCCTGACTTCATTATCAACTGGCCGAAGCAATTTCTCAGGTTCATCATGTCATCACTTTTCCATTTGTGAAGATGGGGAAGCCACCTTAAACTTTGGTTTGCAGATAAAAAAACAACCAACTGATATTTCAAAGTATTTTAGATCTTAAACACCCTTTCAGAGCATCCATGGCCATAGGTGCTGTTGATCTGGAATTAACGTTTCTGAAAAGGTGAACTAAAATCAGGAGATGTAATCACAGCACAATCATATTTACCGTTTGCTCTGGCTTCTGATATGTCAGCCTATGTTTAATGCTGCACTGATTGGCCTCCACACTTCTCTAAGCTTGCCCTACTGTGTCACACAGAACAAGGGCAGGACATTGGTACTGCTTAGGGTCAAGGAAGGCATTCTGTGGTTTTGTGCTTCTCTACAAGCTGCACATCTAATCCAATAAAAATACTAGTTATTTCTCTTCCACACAGCTTTTATTAGCCTTGATAAAAACAAAGATTTTTCAAAGGAGTCAAGATAATTCTTAGGGAGGCAAGTAGGGAAGAAAATGTCACTGTAAGGAGGAATAAAAAATTAGACTGCTATTCTTAATTTTCTTGCATTTTCCATAGGCTCTTCTAATATCTTACCTCAGTGTCATTAACTCCAACCACAATGAAGAGAGCTGCATACTGCCGATATACCAGCTTAAAATCCTTATATTCGATGAAGGAGCACTACACAAAACACAGTTAGATATTAATTCGTATGGTTAACAGGGATTTCTTCAAAATGGCATGCATAATTTTTAGGTTCTGCTTTGAGTATCTGTCAACACATTCTTAGAAATATACAACATTAAAATGTTACACAATCTTTGTTGGCCACATCCTCACAGTATTCAGGGGACAACTTGAAAGCATCTCTAGTGGGAGGTGAAGAAGTTGTCATGGGAAAAATTCAGTGCTGACATGGGTTCCCACCTGTACTTCTTATTCCTTTGCTTGGTTCTGTGTGGAACTCAGCAGGCAAAGCTACTGAATATTAAACTCCCTCTAATGTGAAAATAAGCCAACATGATAAAGATTTTCTTCTTTTCACTTCTCTTAGGCTCTTTTGGAAGCAATTAGAGATTTGATTTTGTACTATTTAATAATCACTGAAGAGCCAAATAAACATGCAAAAAAAAAAAAATCTTGATTTCTTTTTCCTACACCCATGAAAATAATCAATGTGGACTTTTATAAATTATTTAAAGATGGCTTTTGTGTGGCAGATGCTAGACAAAAATCTCTCATTGTAAACATTGCTTCATATGAATTAATAACTAGCTTACCAACACTGACTTGTGGATAAAACAACTCCCGTCCCATTCATCTCTCCTAAAGCCATTATATAAAGGGTAATGGGAAGGCCCTGGGTGGACAAGAATTAGGTAGGAGGCTGAAGGCACAGGGCTGCCCTTCCTTTGGACCTTTGGGTGTGCCTGACCAAATGTGATTGAGCATCAACTGTATGGCTTTTTGTATTGGATATATTGCTCTCGGGTACCCGGATGCGCCTGGGAACGAAGCAGCAATTTTTGATTATGGAATTTTTTCCATTGGAAAGCCACTTGACAATCTATAAAATGGAGGAATTTGAGGCTTTTATTTAAAATTAAGATAAAAGCAGTAAATACAAGACCATTCTGCAGCTTTCAGCTCACTATAGAGCCAGTGTGATTTCTGCTCAGTTAGACCTTTCAAGAAAACACCACCTGTCTGAAAGAACTGAAGAACATATTTCAAAGCCTCTCGGGAGTTTCTGACATTAAAAAAAAAGTATCAAAGCACCTTTGTGGATAAAATAAAAGCTAAGCTGAGATTGTATTACCTCGGTGCCTGATTATGCCAAAAGCCCAGTGGGTTTCTATTTAGTCTAAAATAATTTAGAATGCTTCAAAAATCTCTAACAGTATATTCATTACAAAGTACATATTTCAAAGGGTACCTTATCATTGAAAAGGGTGTCTGAAATTGTGGAATTGAAATTGTAGAAAGATTCAAACATGAATACTTCTGGAGTGTGTTTACCTTTATGTAAGGTACGTGGCTATTAACACAGCCCTTTAATAGTTTCTGTTTCCTTTTGACAACTACATGAAGCAGTGTGTGCCATGGTAGGCCAAAGTAGTAATTCAAAGAGGACTCTTGAGATGTTCCGACTGGAAAATCAATTTAGAAGCCAAGGGAAACACAGTTCCAACACGTTAAATTCTGAGCACTGATGTAGTTTAATATTTTATGGCTTAGCAGTGGTTCCCACAGGCAGCCTTTCTACATAGGCAGTGAAATGGAGAACTGGCAAAATTAATGGGTGATTTAAACAAGCTTTTTGATTTTGCCTTAGTTTGTTCAGTAATTTCCAATGGATTCAAAGTTAGGATCTGGATTAAGTAATTCTCCAATTAAAGTTCTTTGTAGTAATAAACTCAGTTTAAAAAACTCCTGTTTATTCTTATTTTAATGATTTAATTTAACCTCAATTTTGGCAGAATGGGCGAATCTGTTGTTTCATATGAATTTTTAACTTCCATTTCTCCTATCTACATAATAAAATAAGACAGGTTTAAAACAAGTTTTTCAATCAGTAATTCCAGTATTATGTTGGTAGTAAATTCACAAAAATGATAAGCAGAGAAACTTCATTTCACATGAGAATCATATTATTATCCTCTGGTACAAAGTGGGTCTTGAGTATTCACCTCTGTACTGGTCCTCTGACCTTCAACTTCTGGCTTATAGAAAACCACATGCTAGCTACAGGTTCTCCTAGGAGTTCCAAGGGTTGAATTTGTAGGAACAAAAAAGGAAGATATGTCTATTAGCGGAAGTCAATTTGAGATGCCACTTCCACAGAGCAATGAGACAAATATGCTGACCTAAATATGAACCCAAGACTTTTTATAGTTTTCTTTGTTTTTATCTTCCTTAAGGGGATGTAAGGAGAGCTATGCTTCAGTCTTCATTTCATTCGATTTGTTATTTTCCCTAACAGCTATTGAAAAATGTAGTTCAAAGAACACGATGGCCCTTGAGACTCAGTAGTAACAGATCAGCCACTGCTGAGTTGAATGCAGAGATAAAAGAGAGAATCAGAAACTTACTTGTTCATTGGATCGAGAGAGACAGCTCTTTATGACTTCTGTTTCTAGAAGTGTACGCTTATTAATCTCCACATGTTCATAGTACTTAGAAAGTCGGGTCTGGCCTTGTTTATTCACCATGAGGAAAAATTTTATCATTTTTTTTCTGGCCAGTATTTTTCCAAATATAGGTCAAAAGTTATGGCAAGGGGTAGTAGTAACTAGAACCTGAAGGATGAAAGAATAACAGAAAGGCAAGATCAAATTTCTCAAAGAATCATATCAAATATGTTTTATAGATGAACCAGAAATAAATAAAATGTCTTCTGATATCATTGGTCTTCACTATGTGAACTAAATGAGGTTTTCATAAAGAACTAAACATAAACATTTTCATTAGTTATCTTCCAAAACATTTTTGAGTATCCACAGTACTTCTACTCATATTCATTCAATTGACTCATCAACCTTGTTGGGCGCCAACTATGTGTCAAGCTCTAGAAGAAGACTATGGAGAGGAAGTAATTATTTCTGATCTTCACACCTAGCAAAAGTGTTACATAGGTAAATGAGTAACAGCAGTACAAGGTGATGAGTTATAACCAGGACAAGTATCCTTGAATGGGGCACAGAAGGAAAGGACAAAGAACATGACAGGAGAGTTGGGCACAACTTCCTAGAGAAGAGGCTTTTAATCAAGATCTTAAACAATGATCTAAAAGAAGTTACTCTGACACAGAAAAAACGGGTATGAAAACACTGGAAAGTTCACTGTGGCAGTAGTTCAGGGAGCAGAAGAATGGTCCCAGGAAACTGATCTGCTCACATAAGATGGAATTGGCTTTAGAAGTCATGCTAGGGAATATGAACTTTATTTTATGGATAATGGAGACAAGATCTATAGTGAAGCTTTTCTTTCCTTCGTGTCTGGAAGCAGTAGTAGTATAATATGCAAATCTTCACTTCTTCAAAATGACTTTTCTCTTCTCATTCTCCTTGATTCAATTGCTACTTTTCTTTCCTTCTGCATAATGCACCACTCTCCCTTAATCATTAAACCCTTCGGTCAGCATCAAACAGTCTTAGGAACAAAGCCTCAGGTCTGTTAAGCATAGAAACAGGTCAAACTAAAGATAACATCTTGCATCACACCCATGAAGGAGAAAGACCCTACCAGCATCCCCTAGAAAATGGACAGAACGACACAATGACTGACATCAGGACCTGATACAATGATCAGCTATCTCCTACCCTAGCCCCAACCAATCAGTAGAGCGCAAGACCCCAACTTCCTTAGCTACCATGACTAATGAGTTTTCCCCTGTATAACCTATCCCATAGAGGCAACTGGGAAGCCAGATCTTGGAGTGCTAGCTCACCTGTGTCTGGGCTTGGCGCCATTTCTTTAAATAAACCTCTTTCTTTGCTGAAAACTCCTGTCCGTGTCTCCTTTGGCTTTGATGTGTGCAAACAAAATGAACCCCTTGAGTTCGGTAACAGTAGTAATATCGACTGTCACAGGCCTCTAAAAAGGCCCAATTACAAGTCCTATAAAGTCACGTACTAAGCAATTTACATATATTATTTAATTCTCACAATTCTCTGAGGCAGGTACCTCTGTAATCCTCATTTTAAAGACAAGCAAACTGAAGTTTAGGGCTGTTAAGACACCTAAAGTCCCTGGATTATTTTATGTCAGACGTGAGGTGCAACCCAGAGGTCAAGCAGGTGCACACATCTGTGACACCTCTTAACTTGTCTTCATCGTTCAGGGATTCATGTTTGTGGTTTTATTTCTAACTCGGCTGTATTGAATCTCATGTTTCTTTCTCATATTTAATATAGATTTTGAAATAATCAATGCAAAAGAGCACAGTATTGACCAATGGCCAGTCCTCCTTTCATCATGAGCATCAGAGCTACCTTGTTGGCTCATCTGATATCATACTCACATTTTGTGATATCTATGAAAGTCAGTGTAAAAGAGCAAGGTTAACAATAGTTCTTAAACTTTTATAATGTGAAATAATTTTATAGAGGAGTTGTAACAGATTATGGGATAATATTTGGACAGACTTTATAATATTTTTTGCCTTCCCAGCTCATCTCCTATTTCCTAAACCCTATCAGACAGGTGGTTATGTCACAACAATTCCAAACATTAGAGCTAGAAAGAGCAAGGTCCAGTCTGGCAAAGCCTGGCATTGCTGTGTTTATTCAGTGTGCAGAACAGGATGTTATCTAGACCAGCTCAGCTGAGGATATGACAGCTGTGCCATGGGGGAGGCCTGTGGTCATTCACTCCCTTTTCCAGGAAGATAAGCTCACTACTGTAGGTGGGATTGCAACATATTCTGTGTTGTTTAATCATTTGGTATTACGTGCTGCTTTTATTCTCTTTATAAATTATTGTCAGTAAAATATGGCAGACGACTAGTAAATTATTAAGATTACCATCCTTTCTTTTATTCCCTTTCAACAGAGTTATTTTAAAACCATCTTTATGAAAGTTAGAAATTACAATCTTATACCCTGGATTCCAACTGCCAGGTAAAAGAAAAAATATTGACTCAAAGGAACCCGTGGTCAAGCCTATGCCTTTAAATGTCCTGGTTGCAGTAAGTGGTAAAATGAGATGTAAAATGATCCAACTGCAATGTTACACCAAGGGATCAAATTGGTTTCCACCTTAAAAGCACAGCATTCCTTCCCAATGACTTCAAGAGCAAGGATGACAAACAAGAACATGTTGAATTGATACTCATTAGGATGCAAGTCTTGAAAATAGTAGCTGAAGGCATCGAAAGACTTGAATACAACATTTTTTGCATGTTCACAAACACTTACACAATTTATAACTGTACAATTACACAGTGGTAATAAAATGGACAACCACAACTATAAATTATTTCTATTATAAAATAGACAAGGCCAAAATATACGATGCAGAGACTCAGACAAATATATGTTTGAGAACTGAAGATGAATGCTTTAAGCACCTATCCTGCTTATTAATCATCAGGGAGGAGGGAGATCAAATAATTATGAAACTGAGGTAGGGCAATAAGAAGGAATATGCTTAGACAAGTGCTGGGAGTGGTCAGGGAGCAGGTATGAACTGCCTCTGTTTATAAAACTCTGTATTCAACAACACACTAGGCTGGGGAAGATGTTTTGATTGCCAGAAAGTTAGATTCCACACTCAAGAGCTTGTGTGAATGTGATGAAAAACCTAGGAAGGAAAATAAAATTTTGCGGGGGAAAGCATTACACAAAGAGTGCTAGGATGCCCAAAAGCCAAGGCTAGGGAGGGTGGTAGATTCACAGTAGGTCAGGAACAGATTAGTGCCTCTGGAACTCAATGTGATGTAAACTTAATGCCTAGAGAAAAGACAACCTGGATAGACTGAAGTACATTATCAATTGGGCACAGTTTTCCAATTTCTGATGGTGTATTTCTGGGAATTAGAACTGAAAGAGTCTTTACAGGTTGTCATATCCAAACATGATAAATAGATTTCGACTTAGGTGCCAACTGTGACTAACTGTACTTGTTGCTTTGAGCACTGTGTTGGGAAAGATTCTCGAGTTGTTTTCAGGTTCAGAATAAAAAAATGACATGAATGATCACTAATGTCAGTCATGGGTTAGGAAGCAGGGTGTGGCAACATATGCACGTTATATCTGTCATCCCTGATGTGCACTCCCTGTATTTTGCAAATGGGAAACTGATAATCTGAGATGTAGAGTGAAGTCTTGAATTCGGGTCTCCTGACTCATAATACATTATTGTCTTTAATTTATCACATTGCCTCATTGCCTCACTGTGTTGGGGTCATTAAATGATCATTTAAGTTTAATAAACTCAACATCAGATAGCTTTGGGAATGTAAAGTCAATTTTCTCTTTTCTAATGCCACTGAATAATTAATTTGAAAAATACCAAACAATTCATTGAATGAAACAGTAGAGTAAAATTTCTAGAAATGAAAGTGGTATTTGATGATGACTAATATCCCTTATAGCTTCAGATGCTTTCTAGATACCCCAGAATTGTAACACACACACATTCCCTCATTCTCCCTTGCCCTCTCTAAGGTAATATTAGACAAAAACATTTTTTTTTTTTTTGCACATAGAAATGATCGAAATAAAATTCCCCAAGTTAAAAAGCAAATTTCCACCAAGAAAATGTATGGTACTCATACAGTATAATAGTCAGAAGCATGAACTGGAGCTTGACTGTTTGGTTCTACTAATTAGCTTCGTGATCCGTGATCCGTGATCCGTGATCCGGGGCATGTTTTTCCATACTCAGTTTAAGGTGAGGTGGGAATAATAATAGTACTTACCACCTGGGTTGTGAGGATTAGAGGAGCAAGTATATGTAACATTCTTGGAAGTGTGCTCAGCAGTTGGCACATAGTGCTATGTAAATGTTGGCCAATGTCATTAAGATGATATAGCACCTTTTCCTCAGTGAAGCCTTCCTGCCTATCCCAATCCCTGCTTTCTAACCACAAACATCTGGCTATCCTTTCTTTGAACCCATCACTATATATTACAAAACCCGTTACCCTATGTAATTATTATTTGATTACACACTGAGCTCCCCTACCAGACCAGTGATTTTCACTTTTTTATTGTGACAGTAAGAGGGATATTTCACACTGTGACACCGTATACAGTTACATATATATCTGAAACAAAAGTTCACAAAGCAATGCTTACCCATATTATGTATATCGCACTCTAGTATTTTCTTTACCATTTCATTTTGTAAAAACTGAAGTTGTGAGGGGTTTGGGTTACACAGATATATGGATTTTTCAAAATTTGGTAAACGTACATTTAAGATTCACGCGTTTATCTTATGTAAAGTTTACATAAAAAGTAACTAATACTCTAGCTACTCTAGTTAATGATATACATGTTGAAGTATTTGGGGGAAGTGTATTGATATCTATAATTTACTTTGAAATGCACTCAAAACTAAGATAAATTAATAGATGGATAGAGATAGATGGTTAGCTATCTGATAAAGTAGGTCTAGAAAATGTTAATGGTAGAATATAAGTGGTGAGTACATGGAATTCACTGTGAAATTCTTTCGATTTTGCAGTATATTTGAAAATCGTCATAATAAAATGTTGAGAAAAATGATAGCTGTGATCCAGTGATATTATTAAATTCATAGATATTATGTTTTAGAACACTTTTAGATTTCC